ATAAAATGTAAAATAAAATAAATCCTTCAACTTTTACATAAAATAATGCAGAAACAAACGACCGCATTTACTGCACACACAGAAATAAATTCTGGTAAAATTAACGTACTTAGTAATAACATTTCTGGTAGGAAAGGTAAAAAACATAATTCTGGTTATTTTATTGCACAATTCTGTTCGATTTATTGCATAACAGTAGGAAAAAATGGATTGATTTCTTGTTGAATAGTTTCCTTCTCCTTTCAATTTACAATTATAAAACGTTTACACGAATATTGTTTACTAAAAATATGCATGTTAGGTTACAAAGGATAAATATATTAGACAGTGTAGCTTTAATATAGTTAATTGTAATGAGTTTTATAAAAAATTTTTAAAATCTCCTTTTGTTACCAATTTTAATTTTTTAGTAATGCATTATTGTAAGTGAAAAGAAATCAATTTTTTTTATAATTATCTTGTAAACTCATTAGGGGAGTACTAGTTAAATGACGTTTTTTTTTAAAATTATGAACAGAGATATTTTCAGGAGTGTTTTATGGTTTTAAAGAAACTCGTGAGTTGCGATTGGATTACTAGTAACTATTTCAATTTTCTGAATTTTTCAAAAGTAGTACACTTATTGAAAAATTTTGAGTACATGAATTTATTAGTACACTTTATTGAAAATTTAGAATGCACGGATTTATTGGAAGAAGGTATTGAAAATCTTGAATTTATAAAAATAAATCCTTTTCGTGAATTATCTTTTCTCGTGAATTCATTTATACTTGAGAAAGAGAGGAGGGAGAGAGGAGGGAGAGAGAGAGAGGAGGGAGAGAGAGAATTAAATATGCCGTGCCATGGTTACCCTGATCGTCTTGCAATCTTTCTACTACTGTAACTATTAACACTATTTTAAATATTCCATTGAAATTTCTTTTCCCCTTAATATTTTTGCCAACAAAAATTTTAATATTCTTCCTGTCCAATTCAAATAATTTATAAAATGACAGAACAATTAATTTAAAATTTCCAATTCTTATCATGAAATATTTTTATAAATTCTAGCTTAACACTCGTGACTTTTCATTTTGATTTATGATTTGATTTAATTTTCTTTATGTGTGTTCTAATTTTGAAAAACCACCCTTCAACTTTTGAAAAATAATAAAACAGCGTAGTTAAAACGTGGTAAAACAATGCTTCCACGGTTTTCATAACTAGTTTTATTTCACGTATGCGTAGAATACATAAGCGAATTGTAGGTGCTCAAGGCTTTTTAAGTCCCATAAATACGTCAAAATTGAACATTTATAATACAAATTACGAATTTTGTTATGTAAAATTCTTAAAATCTTTCATTTAGTATACTTATTCATGCTATTTAATGTCCTAAAACATATTTTTCTGATGAAAATTGTCTTAACAGCCCCCATTCAATGTCCTATTTTTTTTGTAATAATTTTAATAAATAAATGTATTTATGAATGGCAATTAATGAATGTTTAAAAAATGTCGAAAATTATAGTGTGTCTTTTGTTTTTCTTTTCGTCGAGATTTTGTCTTCGTATGTTTTATATAGTTTTTCTACATTTACAAACTGAAATTTTAATTGAATACCGAAGTACGCAAAATTTCAAGCGCCAATTTCAAACTTATTATTTAGCTAAAGTATAAAATAGAGTGAGACAATTTGCTTCACATGGGCCATTTATCAGGAGACAGTAAAAGTTTTTTCATTTCGAAAGTAATTACCCACCATTTAATTTCATCCATCTCTATTTATGACACCTAAGAATATAATTATATATGAATGATTATAATATGATAGTATTATAATGATACTATAATGATGATTCATTTATGAGATTATTTTATTGCCTTGTATAATAACTAATGAATAGTATATAAAAATTATTTAAAGGATCTTTATAAGTGTTTTTGGAGGGGACATTTTTTTTTGTTCTTTCTAAATAAACGAAGATATTTTTTCAAAATATTTTTTAACGGTGATATCAGATAACATAATTGTACAATTTAAAATATTTACATGTATTTTTTTTCAATATAATTAATACTATAGTGATTAAATTATTACTCAATTATTACACGAAAATTATTCAAAATAATCAAACTATAATTATTAATTTATTTTTAATTCTAACTTTTGTTGCAGCAGATTTAATTCAAAAGTTTATATTCAACGAGTATTTTTTTTCCTCGTTGGTAAATTTGGCATCTCTGATGTTTCCTTATAGTGGACGACAAAAAATTTTCCGTATGCATTTTTTAACTTATGCATCAGATAACAGCATAGAACATTTTAAAATACTATGATTGAAGCAATTATCACTGAAAAAGTATTTTAAATTTTTAAATTAATTATATTATTATTAAATTTCAATTCATATTTCATTTAAATTTTTATTGCAACAGAAATAAATCAAAAGTTTATATTTTTAAGTTATTTTTTTCTATCATTTTGTAAAAATTTAGAAAAATGAAGGTGTGAGTTGTGATTTATTTATGTGACTTATACTACTTTTAGTTGTGACTTATTGCTCAGTTTTTATGTACAGGTCGCCACAAAAAACAGACCACCCAGAATAACTTTTGATCTAATGATGGGATCTTCACGTTTTAGGACTCATTCTTAATAGTTCGAGGAGGTGACATCAAATATGATAAATAATAAGGCAGACGATATTTTAAGTTATGAAATCCGACACAAAACCGCACTTTTTCTGAATAAGGGAACCCTTTTTTTTTCTTTTTTTTTTTGACGGATTCGGATTTCTGACCTCCAAAATATAGAGGTAGCCGTAATCTGGGAAATATGGACCCTATAGAGGGATCCAAAGCGTGGAGCCCTTAATGTTAATTTTACTTTTTGTAAATTTCACCATATCTCTAGAACTTTTGAAGCAAATTGAAAAATTTTCGCACGCAATTATAAAATTCATTTCTCCAAAAATAATTTCATGCAAAAAACAAATTTTAGTAAATATTTATTATTTTATTAGTCAAAAATGTTTGAATTGTAAGATATAAAAAAATTTTACATCATTTCAAAGCATGTAATTTTACACGGCAAAATGCACAATTTGAGTAAAATTGGTTGAATAGTTCTTGAGAAATCCAATTTCAAATATACGTATAATAATAATAATAAAATAAGTAATAATTCTCTAAAATTCAGAAACCGGAAACGTTGTCTAAGCTTTTCCTTTTGTCGCCATAAGTATATCCCAAAATATAGCTAACTACTGAAATAATTAGGGAAAGAACACTCGTCTTCCAATGAAGTAACCCAGGTTCGAGTCTTAGCAATGGCTGGTTCGTAAAATACCCACAGTGGTAAATGCCGTTGCAGTCGGGATAACCATGGGAAGTTTTCATGGTCTTCTTCTTCATGTAAAATAATTGCTGTTTAGTTCAATCAAAAATTCTTCTATTAAGATTAGTTCGTCCCAATGCTTGATGTAAAAGTTTCCTTATCTGCTGGTTTCAGTTCAAAACTACGAGGGTGTGGCTTTGAATTTTGATAGCAGTTTGTCAGTTATTCAACACCGTTTATAAAATAAAATAAAAAGGGAGTTAAAGCCTCGATATCAAATTTACTGAAGATGAGAGGGGCTTAAAAGGCGGAAAAACTTAATTATGTTAAGACAAGTCAAGCATGTGCTTTTTTACACTATATCAAATGACTCCAAAAAAGGTAGATGGGACAAGTAGTTCAAAAATTATACGTTCTTTAGTAAGTATGAAATATGGAAAAGCACAATTATTGTTTATACCTATTTACGCTACTGAAATCACTATATGAACCAGTGAAGTATGGGACTATTATGCGTCTAACAATGAGACGCATTAGAAAAATGAGGCATTATTTCTGATCTAATCTTTTGCGTTAAATCCCATGAAACCAAAGGTTAGTAGACAAAACTAATAGTTTCGTAGTTAACAGTATTTTATGTATAAAACATTTCAAATTTTGGTCTCCTTCAATTTAGTTCTAAGTATAAGTTCTAAAAAAATCTTTATAAATAAACAATTTAATTGGTTTTGAATCTTTAGCTTCAAGGGCTTTTGTTCTTTTTTGTTCTTCATACTGATGTAATTCCAAATAACTTCTGAACTACTAGTCCTATTGACGCAACTTTAGTGTCACACGCTTCAGCGTAAAAAATACTGAAGAAACAATATTTGCATTGTTTACTTTGTTTAAGTTATGTACTCTTTAGACCCCCTCTACCCCCTGTAAGTTGAAAATGAACTATTTTTCAAACTGTACAAAGCTTCCAAAACTATTTTTTCTTATAAGTCTTTTCTCATATATCAGCCCTATATTGCATTTCTTTGCATTACACTGGAATGTTTGAAACTTTACTAAAAAAAATTTGAAAACTCACTAAAACTGTGTCAGACATTGTACAAATTTTTAAGACATTTTAAGTTATAATACTGTGCAAATATTTAGGTTGTTTTATTCGCCTTTAATTTTTTAATGCAATCGTAAGCAAAAATAGTTTTCGAAGCTCAAAGTAGTACATTTGAATAAATCAGTGTTTTTCAAACTTCTTTTTTTTTCACCTTACTTTACTGGTTTGTAAAACTGTCAAAATGAATGTGGTCCCGTAAAAGCTGGTAAATTCTACGTTTTACTGGTAAAACCTAAGATTTTCCGAAGTTTCTTGGTAGCAGTTAGGTTTTACCGCTAAAACTTGGTAAAAAGCTGGAAAAATATATTTAAGCCTACTTCGGACTTAAACCAAACCACTTTGGTGAAAGCTAGATTTTACCGGTAAATTCTAGAATTTACCCATAACACTTAGGATTTAACGAAGTGGCTAGGAAACTTTTTCTGCAAAAGCTTGGTAAAAGGCCGAAATGGAATAATATCAAAGCATACTTCGGGCATTTACCAAGCCACTTACGTAAAAGTTAAGTTTTACCGGTAAGACCTAAAATTTCTTAGCAGACTTAACTTGACTTGTCTTAAACAGAAACATATGCATATTTAATGAAACGTTACTTTCAACAAAATAAAATAAGCATTTTTTATATTTACAGCTCTCATTCGCAATTATTTTTTCCTTCCAAAAAATCCATTAAGTGTCAAAATATTCGCAATGGAACGAAATTAGCAATTTTAATTATTTTCTTTACACAATCTTGAAAATTCTAAAACTCAATTACAATAATGAAACTTCCTTAATAGAGCTGTTGCGAAAAACTCGTTAAAAAGCATATTTCACCATTAATATCAAATAAAGCCGCTATAATCGATTACAACGCCCTCTAGTCACGAAATCCACGTTTGAAGAAAATGAAACTGTTCAACACTCAAAGCAAAATAGAAAAACACAACATTTTGGTGAATAATATTTTGAGTTAACTTTTCAACCAGTTTAAACTTTTCTACTTCTCCAAGTCTTGCATCACTGCTTCCGGCAGAATCGTGATCACCAATCACGACCTGAGGCGGTAATTGGTGGCCAATAATAACGCGTCTGGGCGGAGAGATGTTCCGAATCAGGATATAAGATTGTCCGGAAGCGGTAAAACGGGATGAAAGTTGAGAAAAGGATGCGCAAGATCAAGTGAAAGAAAATTGTCTTATCCAGATCAAATTTTGGCTTATTTTTCTATTTTATTCTTTGGCATTACTTGTAAGTAAATTTAGAGATTTTTCTTATTATTCATTATCATTGTAATTCATGTTAAACACATTTTTAACTGTTAATAGAATTAAAACGATGCTTGCTTATTAATCATGCATAAGTATTTTGAGCATTTTCACTTTTTATATTGTTTTTTTTAACCATTTTTAAAAAGAATTATATTAGTTGGAGCTTCATTTTTTTTTTCATTTAAAAATCTGTTTGTATATTTTACAATATATTTAAATTTTATAAAAATTAAATAGACTAACTCAAACAAATGTTGTTTATAAGACAGAAAATCACTCAATGTCATTTTATACATCAAAAAATAATTATTTTAACTAGTGACGTTTCTACAAATATTCTTAAATTAAACGTAATTAAAATCTTTAAACTTTGATTTTCTTTTTCTTAAATGACGATACAACCGCTCTTTTTATGCAATATTTTCGAAAAAATATTTATAAAAACATCTCTGTTTTGTACATTTTTGCTCGTAAACTCCTGCATTCTACTTATTCAGTCAAATGTAATAAAATTTCATGCAAAGTAAATTTATTTTCATTAACAGGTTTGTCTAATCTGAGCTACATTTTATAGTGCTAAATTATTTTTGTCTAATGTTAATCAACAATTTGTTCTAAAGTTATAGCGTTGAGATAATGAAGTTCATAATACTAGAAATATCTATATATGTACTAATAAAAAATAACAGTAAATTATTTTCATTTTACTTCTTACTTGTGTGATTTGCTAAAATTTTACGAAAGAAAATTTGATTACTTTTTTCTTCGTTAAAAAAATTTAGCTGTTCTTTTTCTGTTATTTTTAAAGAAAAATTCAAGTTTGATTTTGTCCTGATTAATAGTTAAAAACTATTTCTGTAACTATTTGTTCAGATGATTTATTATTATGATTTATGAATAATTTATGTGTATGATGATTTGCGTTCAGATGGATTCATATGATTAATTAATAAACTTAATTATCAAATGCCTTAAGTTAAATAAAAATAATGAGAACAAAACACGTAATAATTTTTTTATTAAATAGCATGAGTTAAAGTTTACTAACTTTTACCTATTGGTTCCTCATCACTATTTTTATATAAATGTGATTGTTTAAAGCTGGATAAATTATTCATCACTATATAATGTTTTTATAAAAAAAAACACAGTGTCTTTTTTCATGTTATTTAATCCATGTTAAAGTGCTGTTTCAAGGATAGAAATTTTCATCGATATATTATCTTAATACAACAGTAACCAATATCAAAGTGTAAGAGAGAATTTATTTACTATACTCCAATTTATTTATGACAGCAAAAAATTACTGCAGAGTTTTTCGACATTAATCTCTTTTTACCTTGGTACCTGAAGATAAATAGCTCATTCCATCATCATTTGTTAGAAGGCGGAAATACTAGTGGAATTCGCATCGCGTTGTTTAATGTTTATATTCCGCCTATCGTCTGGATTCCACCGCTACCGGCTGAAGTTGTTTCGGCAAGTTTCGGAATATGTCGGAGTTCATCTGTTCGTGTTTTTCCTTTTGATCTTTATCAAATAAGAGTCTGCTTAATCACTAAATAATACTTACATTAGCCACATTTGAATGATATTGTAACAAATTATGTGTTAATAATTAATTACAGGGAAAAGAAATTTTAATTAACTAAGGAAACGAAATTAAAAAAATGGAAATTAAAAAAATATTCCGGAATATGTCGGATGCCATGTTTTTATTCGTGTTTTTCCTTTTAAGCTCTATCAAATAAGAGTCTGCTTAATCATTAAATAATCCTTAGATTAGCCACATTTGAATGATATTGTAACAAATTATGTGCTACCAATTAATTGTAAAAAAAGACATTTTAATTAACCAAGAACACAAAATTAAAATTAAATATAGATTTATCAGTTGTGTTTGACTATAGGAAATTAACTTAATGCTTACTTTTTTTAATATTCTTTTTAGTATTACACATCAATACAAAAGTGGATTGTTCGATTTTTCAATAAATTTATAATCGATAGTTCAATTATTATAAAATTTACACTAATTAAAATATTGAACTATTTTAAATTATTTAGATAGTTTATTCAAACTTTTATACCTTTAAAACGAAGTCAATTTTTTAATAAAAATGGCCATCTTAAGCATTTTGGATACGTAGCTTTGTATGCTAACATTCAATATTTGGGCACATCAGTTGTACCGGCAGTCGTCAACAAATTTTGTTTAAAATTTAACAAATAATACTGGAATTATTTATTCAAACTACATGTCCTAAATTAAATACTTAGAAAATATTATATGGGTAGAAAAAATGAAATATGATATAAATATATGCGTTTGAACATGATAAGTAGGAGGCATGTGATGAAGAGACAGTAGGTAAAATAGTACAATAATAAAATGCGAAAGCATTTTTTTTTTAAAATTTGATATTATAATATCAATTTAACTATATTTTTAAATTTCAAAACAAATTCATACCTAATAGTAAAAGTGTAAAATATTATTATTAAAGCTTGAAGTTTGGATACCGAAAAACTTTTGATCTCATGTTACAAGAAAAGTAATTTTCGAAATTCGCAAAAACTTAATTAATTTATTCGATTGATTTGATTCAAATTTTATATTTTAAAGATAGCAGTTTAAAGTGTTGTCCCAAAATTATATGTTACAAATTAAAAGCATTTCGATCATTATTAAATTACATGATAAATAAATACTTATAAAATATTATATATAAATATATACATATATATATATATATATATATATACTACATATATATACGTATTCATATACATATTTATATATATATATATCTACAGTCAAACCCCGCTATAGTGAACCTTCAAGGGACTGAAATCTCGGTTCACTATAACCGGGAGTTCACTATATCCATTACACAGGCAATTTTACTAATTGTTCCAAACTCCTCTCTTTTATTACACATTATTCAAATAAATGACTGAAAAATATTATATAGTAACAAAAAATGTGTTATTTTTTATTACTCTTCGTCTTGCGCACAAAATAAAATTAGCTGATCAGCAATCCTAAACATCACATATACAAAAACACTTCCCGTCTCTCAGATTATTTTTCCTGAATTTCTGTTATTCCGCTTTTTAAACTGTCTAATCTGCCATTCGAGCACATAAAAGTGATCTCACAAAATCGCTTAGCAAATTCATCAACAAATGTCCAGATACTGGAAAATTGCAGCTTCTTCGAATTCTGAACCACTTCATGCTTCCTCANTATTAAATTAGTTCAAATTACGATATATATATATATATATATATAATAAATAAATAAATACAAGAAAACACGAAGAAAGTCAAGAAAAACAATAAGTTTCATTTATTGCGCATAAGCTGCAAGTAAACAGAACTCATTAGATAAGTTCAAAATGAAGATAAAACGAAGGAAAATTATAGACACATGAAAAAGGGAGAAAATAATAATAAAAAAAATAACATGCAACTGATTAAAAAAAAAAGGATGAAATTTTTGGGATGAAAAAGAAAAGGAGGAAAAAAACCGGAAAAAAAAGATATAATCTCTTCAATAGCCCACACGATTACATCCGCAAAAAAGAGCTCTTTTTTCTTTTCTCTTTTTTTTAATCAGTTGTATGTTATTTTTTTAATTATTATTCCCCCCTTTTTTTTTCTTCATATGTCCATAATTTCCCTTCGTTTTATCTTATTTGACATTCAAATAGCCATAAATAAGTTGCTATCCAAACTGTTAACTGCGAGAAAAACCGTTTATTAACTGCTTTCACCTAATACGGTTTAACAATCAGAATTTTATAACACCAATTAGACTCCCCTAATGAAGCCACTTTGTTCCATGAAGATGGGTACATATTATAGCCGAGAGGGCTAATCTTTCAATCTCATGATCGACAGAACGAAGGGTCGAGTCCCAGGGTAGACGTCGAAATTTCTTTTGAAACCATACTGCTTGTAAATGGTTTTCGGTAAAAAATATTACAATACTTAAAAAATAAAAGGTACAACAGTCAAAATCATCAGAATATAGCAAAATTGAAAGTGTTTCTGGTTCTGTGCCAAAAAACTCGGTTCTTTTTACAGAAGCGCTTTGGTAAAATTATTGATGAAATATAGTTTATTAATATGTGATAAAATTTGGTAAATGTGATAAAATTGAGCAATTTTTAACGTGATACCCTAGAGCATGGTATAAAAACTATTTATTCTGTTGAATTTACTTTTCAGTTACATATTTTTTACTAAATGTTTAGTAATAAGAACTGTAATTTTAAAATCAGAAATTTCTAGTAAACGGTTACCATATGAACAGAAAATTTACCAAATAAATGGTTTAGTCACAGCATATTTTGGTTTCATTACCCAGAATTATGTTGTTGTTTTTTTTTATCCAAAAATATCATTACCATACACGGCAATTTTACCAGACTTTTTTTCTTCGGGTACTCAGTTTAAATTAACCCTGAACTTCGCAGATTTATTGTAGATAAAGTACTTTGTTACTTACTTAGGGATATTTCTTCTTAAATTACATTTTTTCGTCACAGTTGAGCTTGACCGTGGCAGGCATATCGTGAGTTCGGAAAAAATTTATTTGTGTGGGATGGACATATATATTTCTCAAGTAATGTTTCGCTGTCTAAAAGCTTTTTAACTTCCTACACTGAAGTGTTCATCTTGTATTCAAAAAATAAAATATAGCTGTGAAATAACAATGAGCAGCTAATAAATTGATTACCACGCCCTTACAAAAACAAGTGACTTAAAGAATGGCTGTCGCTGTGAAGACAATATAACTTAACTCCCTATTTCAAGTTCTCAACTCAAAAGGCCACTTCACTATAGGTTTTCCAAAACTTTTTAAATTGCATGCCTAAAACTCTTGGATTAAAAGTGCACCTGAGGTTCGAGAAATTGTCAACGCTATAATTTTAAAATGTGTCAATGAGTGATATTTTTTTTTCAAAAATT